AGAAAAACGGCTGGATGATTTCTGGAGTATGCGGCTGGAAAGGTGAGTGTACGAACTAAGCTTCAGGAGCTTTTTTCATTTTTTCCCATCTTTTCTTTCCCTTCGATGTGTTTATGCCAACTTCGTTTAGACCTTCGCACGAGGAAGTCATCCGACGCGCGAGCTTCGAGATTCGCAGACAGCAGTGAGTAAAACGTCCACAACCTTGTCGTAAGCCCTACTAACTTTACCACCTTTGTTGAAGGTTCCGAGAAATGTGCGAAGAAGCCGCACCAGTCAAAGCGCTCTCCTTCCTGCAAAATGAGGTGTCTGCAGTTGTCAACCACGAGGACCAAGACGAGTCGACTGCCTTCCGCTCTCTTCTCTCGCATCTCTTCGCGCAGCCATCTATGTCCCCCGTTTCTCAGACCTCCGCGTCTTCGATTTTGAACCCAGAGCATCGTATTCCTGCTACAGCCTCGAAAACGAGCGCATCGTCTTCTTTCTCAAGCGGATCAGGATCCGGTTCGGGAGGATGGACGAGTGAGCTGCCGACGGATGAGGACACGATTATGACCGACGCCGGCGCAGAGAACGGTCGGAGCAGTCGCAATACTCAATCTCGACCGCGAATGTCTCGAGCGCCAGTGGAGGATGATCCATACGAGCTCGAGCTGCGGGGAGGGGAGCCGCTATCCGGAGATCTGTTCCGCCAGCGTACGGAAATCTTTGAGAGCTTGCTAAAGTACATTGATCGGGACGGGACGCAGCCCCCCGGTAGCTTGTTGGATATGATCGGTAATACTTGAGGAAGTTTGGGGCTTGGTCTGAGGACTAAAATGCTTTCTCTGGAAGGGAATGGGAGTTTCCAAGTGGACATTTACTTACACTACCGTCACGATTCACGACTTGTTACGAACATAGAATAACTTAACTGGAGGTTAACGGTGAATCAACATCGTAGAAGTCGACATCCATTTGTCTGAAGATTGAAAAGCTAAAAATACAAAGCCACACAGAACCATTACTCGTCGAGGTTTATTGCGGAACCGAATTTAGCATACAGAACGAGCTTCAGCTCCTTCATGCTCTTGTCACACTCCTCCACGCCATCGACGATCTTCGCGATCTCTACGTCGAGTGCGGCGGCGTCACGCGCGAGCCGTTTCAGGGCGCGTTGCAAGGGCATGTGCACGAAAGATTCGCCGACGCGGTATCTGTGGTGCAGCGCTGTGTCAGAGACGAGAGCACTACGATAAAAGGGGGGATGTACAGGATAGGCTCATCTTCGTCCGCGAGCTCGAGTTCCATTGAGAGGTCGTCGAGCGCCTCCTTCTCTTCCTGTCCACGAGACGAACACATCAGTACATACATAGATTGTCTAAAGCTCACGATCCTCCGAGAAAAAAGCGCGCACCTTGAGCACCTCGAGCCGCTCCTCAAGACTGCGAGAGCGTGTGTTGATTTTAGAGAACGCGCATATGCGCTGCTGATCCTCTGCAGGTCGGGATGGTATTTACATCTAGACGTGAAGGATAATGAAATGGGCGCTTACCCCAATTCACCTCAACATCCTCGCTCTCTTCTTCTTGCTTAAGCTATACGGATCAAAATGCAGACCTTGAGCTAAAAGGCAGGGCGGGCGCGAGACGGAGCGGGGACACACCATGCGCATGTCGGCGTTGTGGTCGAAGACGGAAAGAGACGGCACAGGTAAGGAGCGACTCGCGCTTACAAACTTCTCTTTAACTTGCACGACCATGTTTATTCATTCTCAAAGTACTGTGTGGTAACAAATCTCTCGACAATATGGAGCAAAGCATGTCGAAAAGAGGTGTGTGTGCAGATAGCTGATCGAGTCAGCCTGAACTCGATGACGACCAATTCATAGACAGGAAACATTTCGTCTGACTCGGACTATCTGACGATATACAAACAGCATCGGGTACCCTGTCTCGACTTCGAGATTTGGGAGCTACTGCGCTGCTCGACAGGTTACAAATATCCGTGAAGATGCGCTAGCAAACGGTGTCATTGTTAGATAAAATCGTGTCATCGAGTTCGTGACTGGATCTTTTGTATGGTTTTCAAATCCTACAGTCCTTTTCCGATACCAAGGCTTGCGGCAGGCATGATGGCACCTCGCAGTCCATCGGATACGAGAGCGACACCAGACTGCACCGGAGCTGACCGTGTTTATGCAAAGACAAGGACCCCAATGGCTGCTACTACGTTGGACTTATCATGTACGTCCCCTTTCTTGGTTTCGCATATCAAAAGCATTCTCATTGATATCGTATTCAGCTACTTACAAGCAAGGCAGCAACTCAAGACGTCATCTCCCTCCGCCGTCATGGCTCGGATCTAAGGCGACTGCGAATTCATTTTTGTTTTCGTAGTCGAATGGGGACTTGGTTGACTTCCATCTAATCAGGGCTATTTGTAAGAAATTCAAATGCACAGGTAAATGTGGCTATGGTGGCATGCACACGCATTTGTCACCCACGTCGATTTTATATGTTGGATCTCAAGGGCCAATTCCTTGAACGATGATGCTATAATGCTCCACACCAAAGGATACAGTGCTATATACATAAGGCCCCTCCTCGAACCACCCACTTTCTAAAGAGAAAGGAGTCGTATATGATTGTGCGGACGCCGTCACATTCGCCGTTCAGCAATATCAGGCGCACGCCTCACGATTGTTCGCGAGGTTTCTCTGAGCTAAGCGCTAGACTTGCTATAAATGCTAAAGTGTCTTGTTTTTACTATGCTTTTGACGACAGAACTAGGATATAAACATGATATCGAGTTGTTTGCTGAGAACACACTTCACCACTATTTAGACAGGCTTTGCTCCAAGGATCCCTCTTGTGACAAGGTTTCGTTGCAAGCGAGTGAAGAACATTGCAAGCCGGTTCACCGAAGGCCTACAAAATATACATACATATGTACATATTGTACATTGGAACACAGTTGGGAATATAGGATATTTCGACACTGCTTCATGTTTTCTCTTAAAACTTCGACTGCAATGGAATCAATCTGAAATCAGTCTAAATTTCTGCGCCGACTTCCTTTGCCCTTTGTGTCCTGGTCACTCTCGCCTCTTCCTCAGTTGCCAATATGAATTCGTGTTTCAGGATCTTGAAGGAATCACCCTTTGCAAAGCCCTTGGCGCGTGCCTCAGACTCGGATGTCACAGTCTCAAGTTTCTTTGAAACAGACGAGAGGTCAGCATACATTTAGCCAGAATGAATGGATGGTTGGCAGTTTTTGTTGATGTACTTACCACAACCAGACTCTTCTTAACACCAAACACTGCGTCACTGAAATTCAAAGGATCGCCCTCGGGATATAGCGCGGTCGTCAGTTTGTTAAATCCGGGTTTCTCGAACATCATGTGTAGGTGATTAGGGCGCATGTTGTGTCGCCTAAGCTTTAAAAGCAGGTCGCCGACAGGACCCTACAACGTCTCGTCAGTCCAGAATACTAAATGCGGGTAGAGCATCGCCATTTCTACTCACGTCACTAGGAATAGGGTACGCGACAGGGACGACAGCTCTGTAGGCGAAGTTGCCGTCCTTGTCTGAACGAAGACGACCCCTGCAATCAGGCCTGGAGCGATCTTTATACTGCGTATCATAAAATCCATTCCTGCACATCAGAATTGGTCGTTTGTCAGTTCAAAGGAGCATAATGTTTCGATATCCGTTTATGGTCTCACTCGTCGGTCTCCCATGTTTCAATAACGACGTCCGGAATCGGTGAACCTTTGGTATCAAGCACGCGACCTTCCACCCACATATACTGGCCTTTCCCCTCAGACGCAATCGATTCCCCCTTCCCGACTATCTCACGGACATCATAAATTCACAGCGACACTAATCAGATAGTTACCTTTACTCACTGTCAGCAGCGTCCTCAGTGAAGAAGGGTCCCAAAACACTGCTCTCTGTAGTATTCCCTGAAGGTGGATTGTTCAACGCATCGACAAGTGCGGAAACACCTAAAATGTCTGAAAGGAGAATGAATTCTTGTCGAATATCTGTACAAGTCTGTCCGACGCGCGTGAGGTACTGAATTGTCGCCATCCATTCTTCTGTAGTAAGACTTCAGATTTTGTTAGTCGAACCGGCGTTTAACGACTGATGTGTTTTGAACCTAGTGTCCTGGATGAATCCATGTAAATGTTTGACAAGGTTCTCCATAAGGAATTTCAATCGCCTATAACGCGATGTACGATAAGAACCCCAGTCCCATCTAGCACATCGAAGCCGCTGGCTTACGGGGATTCCGCGAGCGTGTTGAGCTTCTGCATATTAGTAGTGATGACCTCCGGACGGTCCGGAAACTTCATAGAGCAAATTGAGCTATCGCAATAAATACAGTGTCGATAAAAACACCCACAGGAAGCTCAAAGGGAGGTGGAGGTATTGCATTGCTCACGGCCTTGTTAACGTTGCTTGCTTCCACCATATTTGCTGGCTCTGTGGTTGAAAGTCTCGTCGGATAGGAAAAGACAGAATCAAAGATCGGATGTGTATAGACCAGAGTTTTATATCACTCCTGTCATGCGAGTCGGAAAGCAGATGACTCACGATAGAAGACGTCGCAGCACCTGACTGTCATGTAGTTTCATAGCGGGACGGTTTTACGAGTCCCGGCAAAGGTACACAACCCGTTTGGAAACAAAAACGGGACAATCAAATCGAAAGGAGGGCATTGGTTCCCAGGCGGGTAAAATGCTTAGCACGGTGTGGTCCGAGTCGGCAGTCCAATTCCATATCACGGTTCTATATTACACGTACATGTACAATGACAGCTGCACAATTTGTTTCTTTTCAATCAATTGCAAATATCCTTTTACTAGTAATGATAATCAATGAAGACAAGGCCATTACTGGAAATATAAAAAGTAGAAACTACGACGACAGTAGGATTCGAACCTACGCCTTCAAATTATAGCCCCCCCATTGTGATGACTAATCTTAGTTCGTTAGAAAGAATTGCACTTTAGAGGCGCTGTAGCAAAGTGGTTACTGCGGCAGTTTAGAAAGCTGCTCCTCTTTGAGGGCGCAGGTTCGAATCCTGCCGGCGTCGGAAGACTTTTGTTTTAAGTCTTCTACTCTGACTTTATTTTGTTTCACTCATATTCACATTAGATTTCAAGGAGTTGATCCCGAGGAGGATCTATCTGTGACCCAGAATGACAAGTAGTGTGACGTAGACACTTCTGACGCGTGTCCAAATCTCGCCAAGTCCAAATCATAATGTGAACTCCCTTCATTTCAATCTTACCAGCGACTGTCATTGTTTATGCAAAGACGAAACAGGTGCATGCTAAGTACATGCTAAAGACTTTTTTTGTTTTGTTTCGATGCTAGTTTTCACACCGCGCTAGTCAAGGATATAGTATAATTATCAAAGTGGTACTATTAAAGAGAATCTACACGATGCTTATCATAAGATTGACCCAACCGTCTGCTCCTGCCATACATGCACCCAGCCACGCAATTTCAGCGTCTAGAGGACAAACAACTCCTTGTACGACAGCATAAGCCAAAGCACGCTTCTGACTAGGGAATAACAGAGGTAGATGTGTACAAAGGAAGTTTCTCAACGTGTTGAAAGATCCTATTCATATAAAACAAATTCAATCATTTAGAGTAAGCAAACCGCTTTGAACTTGCTCACCAGATTCAAGTATAGGTGGTGCAAGGCCCTGAAGTACTGGGCCATCTGCGAGGTACATTCGAACGGGAACACTGCGAACATTATAAGCGCCGTCTTTATCAGGAGCTCCAGCAGGGTCTGTAGATGGTGGCCTCGAGTGCAGTGATACGGAAGACGGAGGAGGAGAAGTCGGCCGGACAGGCGTCGTAGTTGGTGTAATTTTCGCCGCAATTCGCCAGTATTCGTCGAAGTTATCTGCAAGTTGCATGATTTGCAAGCCGTTGGCAACACACAACTTAGTTGCATGACTCACGACTCCTTATGCCGTCCCATATTCCATCTTGTTCTGCTTGTCGTAAGCCCGTCATTCTTTTTGTATTGCCCCACCGCAGAAAATCGGCTTCTTTGAGTTGACCCATGAAAGCCTGTTTACACGCTTCGATACTTGGGGACAAAAGCAGTCTTTCGGTCGGGGGAGCCGCGAGGTGCAGGATTAATCGCAGAGGTGTCAATTGCTGATCGGACCTCGGCCGCTTCTTCAGCGAAGCAGTGATATTGTTAAAGTCGTATAGCAAGCCTATAGACCAATGCCTTACGCATTCATAGCTTAAACTAAGGCCAGCAAAGCGTCGAGCAATGCGCTCACCACTTCATCAACACCTTGTCCTCGGTCTCGAACCACCATTCTTCCTCCTTCACTGTTTTTCCTCCTGCGCCATCGAGGACAATATCTGTCAAGAAGCGCTTTATCTCGGGCACGAGCAGCGGGAGGTAGCTCACGCGCGGCGCCTGGATAAAGTAGCACTCCAGGCCGCGGTCACTGTTTGCGGGAAGCTCTGAGGGGTCAACGTGAATCTCAAGTGGGACCGTCCCTTCCCACGTCAGACGTCGGAAAAGTGTCGTTGATGCTGGAGTTGAGAATGCAGAAGGTGAAGGGTCGTGTCTGGCAGGATAGGTCATAGTGGCAGCAATCGGTCGAGTAATGAGAGCGGTTGGACTGGCGATCACTCTCGCGTGCGCCTCAGTGCTCCGTATTAGGCTTTAAAGTCAGTTACTTTTCTCCGTGTGATAGTCTTGATTCTACAATCTCAAGGGAATTTTTGACACCATTACAATCGAAGGCGTATACAATGCGTCTTCCACTGTGACCATTCCTTCCACAATTCCCGCGGAAGTTCAAGTTCAACAGGGATATCGGATCCGACACTTCGCCGGATCTGCTCCGACTCAAGATTCAGAGTTCTTGTGAGTTGCAAAGCGACGACGATTCCTTCTCCGTGTACCGCTCCTTACCGTGGTGCAGCCACAAGGCAGCTCGCGGAATCAGATCAATCCGAAGACTTGTTAGTCTCCCGTTCTCCTCCAATTGATGCCAAGAGCTGAGGAAGTCGAAGGTGGCCGCTCCGACTCCTATGTCTCATGATAAGTAGAATTGCGAAGAACCCGCGACGGGCACATCTCCGGTAGTTCTGGAAAATATTGCTTCCCGCCGCTGTGAGCCGACTTGGATGGACCGGAACAAGTGAAAGCAACCCGTCATTCCAATTCTTTGTCTGTACTTGTTCTGTGTGCTTCGGTATATGGCATGGCTTGACCAGTTCCTAAATGATACAGCTTTTGCAAGGCCTTCTCCGGAAAAGTAACATTTTCTGACTATCATTAGACATTTCTAGCGCTAGTTATACTTAGCAGCAACTTGCAAGTTTTAGTCAGAAATAAAGCGCAATTTCTATTTAGCAAAAATCAACGGGGTCAGTTCTGGGTCAGAGTAGCGAAACAAGGTCAGTCCGTCGAAGTCAACAAACCCGACTCAGCCTTCAAGAGCATTAAGACTAAGAGCGGAGGAGGGAGATGAGTTGACTTGATCAAACGCGGAACCACATAGTATCCCCCTCGCACGACCGAATACATGAATTATGGGGCTTACCATCTCGATGGACATTTCCGCATGGTGATTTTCTTTCTTTGCTTGCCTCCACTGCTATTAAATATTAACCACGAAGTAGCGATAAAGGCTGCAAGAATTCTAGCGTGTCAAAAAATTTCTAATTTTCGATATCTCGAAAAGAAAGAGCACTGATTGGAGGCGAGTGACTACTGATATTATCTTGTATCCCATGACAGCTAACTGTGAGTCTAAACAGAGAAAGCGATGTATATGCACGCCCGGCATGGACGCTGATTGGGTGTATGAGCCGCGGCAGTCCCTACAATGGTTTTCATCTCAATACACTAGACTCTGATAATCGCGAAGCCATCTTCGGGCTAGTTCAATTCTAGACTAGGTTTTATCGTCTGCGGGAGAAGTAAAGGAATAGAGCGAAATGCTATGTCGGCATTAGCGGCCTGCCTATTTGCACTTTTGCACTTGTTTCTACCATCAAAAGCTCGATAATACATACGTACATCAATCACTATGTAAGCACAGTCAGATTCGCGTCCGAGAATCATTGCTTTGCTCTGTACCTAGTATGTATTTATGGTAGCTATACAGTGGAACCTCCCATACTGCATAAAGGTCGGTGGAAGGGTCGGCTTATGCTTATTCAGAGGTTATGCAATACGAGAAACTTGACTTATTAGGTAATTAAAACCATTAAATCAGAGGATAAGCTATGATGGTATTTATTGGTTGCTATAACATCCCCTAAGCCGAAAAAAACTCTGTGCAATAGCAGACTGTACAAGGCTCTTTGTGTGCTCTGCTCACAGCTTTATTCTGAGTTGGTGGAGATGGTCGTGAGCCTGCCTGAAATCTGGCTGAATGCTCAATGGCACCGGGATTCTCCCAAAAGATGGGGAAGACCAGCGGAATGAGCACTGACAGTATGTCAAAGCCTCATCATGGCATTTATAAGTGTAAAAATGTGGAAGAAAAGGAGAAAATAATCAATGAAAGTGTCGCTGTAGGAGACATACGCTCGGGTGGCGTGAGAGTGGGGTGTTTGGTGATGTTAGAGCACGGCCGGTATCTCGCTGTGCTGGCACGCTTCGGTCCTGTAGCACTTACCCATACGACGTCCTATTGTTCCTCAGCTAGCTCAGATATACACCGGATTCCTAGTGATTGGTGTGATCCCGCGTAACAGCCTTACAGTCGCAACCCGATGGCAACTTGTTATGACACGTATTTTAATTTTCCCTTACCTTGTCTTGAACTTGCGGCCTCTCAGCATTTAGAGTCACATGATAGCCTAGAGTGTTCTACAATGATGTCATCATGACATCATAGTCTAGACCATGACATCATAGTGACATCATCGACGGTGACATCATCTATGACATCATTAGCTCCACTCGCTCCACTAATGTAACCATATTAGGTAGTGTACTGCTTGGTCTGTGCGCACTAGGTTTTAGTATATAAAGAGGCAATAAACATCTGGGAGGCTCAATCGAGTTCTCTTAGAATCTCCACCACAAAGTGTGATCCCCTTCTAAGTCAGCTCAGCATTCTCTCTCCTTGTCGTCTTGTGCTTTGGAGTTTGCGCCTCAGCCTTTTGGTTTGTGGTGTGCTCTAACAGTAGAACTCGATTCTATCCTCATTGCGCATTCTCCAAACATTCCTCTCATCTCTAACTCGCCCTCATCTCTATAACTCTTGCCTTGTCGTCGCGACTCGTTGCGGCGGCCTGTTTTCACCACTTCACAATTTCACCTCACACTCGACGCGTGCGTTCAGAGAGGTACAACCTTCGACCTCGAGGACATCACCTTCGCCCTGAACAGCACTTCCGACACACCCATCGACTTTCCCTCTTCTACCTTCAACGCCACCACTATCAAGAACTCCCTCATCTTCGGTTCCCGCTACCTCGTCCTTACCGTCGTTGATCCCTTGATCGACGCTCGGCTTTTTGATAGGAAACCCCCCATACTCCCACATACACGGAAATCAGAGTGTCTGGTTCCACTACCGACTCGCCGCGTATTCACTTTCAATTCCGTTCTTTATTAAACCATCCTTCGCACTCTTGGTGAACTGTTGGTAGCGCAGGCTTAAGCTAAGCTACTGAGGACAATCCCTCCACGAGTAGTAAGGGACAGGCGAACACCACGTCGTAGCCCTCTCGTGCAACTGCTGAAGTGTGTGTTGCGGTGCCGTAGTCAGTAGAATTATCTACCGAAACATATTTCGTCGATAGTTAGTCACCGCGATGGATCAACCACCACCTTTTGTCGACATAGAGGGGCAGCAGGCGCAGCAGCAGCCACCACCCCCAACCACCCAGGACTTGCTGCACCTTATCGGAATGTTGACGCACCAGGTGCAGGCCTTGGGAGGGAACATTGCACACCTTACCCAAACTGTGACCAACCTGGCTGCAGCCCCTCATCCACCACCCGTAATCATGCCAGCACCAGCGGCGGCGGCTCCCTCACCCAAAATGCCAAAGGTGGCTCCACCGTCGTACTTTGAAGGAAAT